CAAGCTGAGGGCAAGGTACAAGGCCTACTGGCAGAGGAGGTGCCTCTGAGTATTTACTGGGGAGCTACATTTATTTACCCAAAGAGCTAAAGCTGAGGCCTTAGGGTTAAAGCTTAGCAGAGCTACATGATGTGGGGAGTACTAATAACAGCAAAGGGACTTCTGATAGCCTGGTGTTAAGAAGCTACACTGCAATCCCAAAGGCACACAGTTCGAACCCACCAGCTGCTTGGCCATCTCCTCTTGGGCCATTTACTGTCTCTGAAAACCTCCTGGAGGGTCAGCTATGATTTGGTTCTGACTTGATGGCACACAATTAACAACAAAAGAGCAGAAGGAGCTCTGGTGGTTTTGTAGGGAATTACACAGCTAACTCAAAGACCTCACCTCTGCTGGTTCCAACCCACCAGTGGTTTCATGGAAGAAAGATGAACACTCTCAACCTGTGCAGCTTACTGCCTCAGAAACCCCATGGAGGGTCAGCCTAGAGTCAGTTCTGACTCGGTATCAATGAGCTATTTTTCTCTGGGTGTGGGGTTTTTTTGGTGGGTTTTTTAAACAGCAGAGTTAATGAACAAGGCAGAGACCAAGGCCTCAAGGTTGAGTACCAGAGGTCTCTTTAACAGCAATACTGAAATGAGACTATCCCAAAGAAAGAACTGTATCGCAAATTGTTCCTCATTCTGAATTACAATCTGTTAGTTCCCCAATAAACTCCATAAATGTGAGCGCCGTCTATGGGTTCTGTGCGGCCATTGCAACAACTTATTAAATCCTTCTGAGTGCCATGGGGGTGGCTGATAAAGATTTGGTGGAATGGTTTCGAGTCTCTCAGTCGGAGGATGACATAGCTGACCACGCAGGAACCTGTCCTGGGGAGGGTGATGAGGCTATTGATGGAGATTCTTGTTCTTTATGAATGGAGCTCAGACTGCTGCTCCTAAACGCACAACGTTTCTGCTACTCCCGGGACTGACAGCAAGTCCAAAGAACAAGAGACAAGCTTCACCAGCTGTGCTTCTAAGGAGAAGGCAGAGCTGTTCTCTCATAGGTCAGTTTGTTGTACTGTGGCGACTTACGTGTAGCTGCTGTGATTCTGCAAGCTGTACCTCCAGTATTTCAAACACCAACAGGGTCACCCATGGTGGACAGATTGCAGCCGAGTTTTTAGAAAAGCTAGACAAGGACTTGGCAACCTACTTCTGAATATAACTGGCCCAAGAAAAACCTCAGGAAAAGCAGCAAAACACTGGCGGTTAGGATCTAAAACACACAGGACAATTCCATAAAATCACAAAATATAGAATAATTCTGTGATACTGAGAGTCACAGCCTAACGGAGTCAACATCTATTTGGGGGTGGGAGTAGATATGAATCGGCGAGCTCTGGTGGCCTAGTGGCAAGAAGGTGTACTGCAATCCTAGAGGTGCACGGTTCAAATCCACCAGATGCTCTGCTGGAGAAGGAGGAAC